ACTCGTAGAGGAGAGCCACCCGAAAGAAGTCCATTGGTGGAAAGTGGACAATGGATGGAGAAGAACCTTGAGAGGAAGAGAGAGAGAGAGAGAGGCGAAACCTCCAAACATACTAAAATGATTTAGGGTCCATTGGGTTTGTAGTCGGAATCAGAATCAGAATGGTCCATTCCCATAATCTGTTTGGTTCAGACAGGAATGGGAATGAGAATTAAAATAAGCAAGAATGGAATTTAATTTCCAAGGGAGGGGTAGGAAATGGCCATTCCCTCAAATGGGGAATGCCATTCCAGTAGGAATGGGAATAGGATTCCAATTCCATCCAACCAAACACCCATTTGGATTCCGATTCCAAACCCCTATTCCCGTGAACCAAATGGGGCCCACACCAGGGGCAAAGTGAGAATTTCATTCGATTACCAACCAACTGAAACCGGATTCAGTTAGTGTAAGGCCCATTTGAACATCCTTTATAGCCTTGCATTGGGAATATCTCCCATGAAATAAAACACACAAGTATGGAGATATTCCCTGTAAAGGCTGTTCGAAGGGTCTTGCACTAACTAAAGTCGATCTCCAACCAACCAACCATTGCACGCCAACCGAGAAACAATTGTATGTATGTATATTAACAGCGCACCGGTGACTGTAAGGGCCAAGTAAGAACTAGATAAGCTGGAGTGATAGACTGATGGTGGCCATTTCAGATGGGAATTTCAGGCCAACCAAATGATCGTTACTCTACAATCAAGATGCCTCTTATACATTCATTGTTATAATAATAGAGGTGTAAATCGGACTGTGCTGCCCAACATGTGGGCTAATGTTAGGCATGGTACGATGGGTTGGGTCATGCTGGACTTGGGTTTTCAGGCCCATGGACCGGCACGACATGGCATGACCAAGCGGGCCATGCCGCCCACGATCCGTGGCATGACCCATATATATATATATTATATTATATAATAATTATAATTATATATAACATATATAATATGTTAATATATACAAAATTTTATTTTCAAATTTATTATACTATTTCATTTTATTATTGCATATATAAACAATTGTATACAACAAATTTATATAAAATAAAATTTTAAGTTTTTTTTTTTTTTAACTTTGATCTATTTTGTTAATTTGCTTTAAAATTTTCATTAATTTTTTTCAGTTATTTTAAAAAAACATGGCTTGGCACGGTTTGCGGCCCAAGGCTTGGCCTATGGCATGGGCCTACACAAGCTTGGGTTGTGGGCTATGTCAGGCCAACCCCCCTAAGTATTCCAGGATAGGGAAGCACAACCCGGATCGACCCCCAGGCCAGCCTGGCACAACCTGATTTACATTTCTACACCACGAGCTCATGAGATTCCTAGTTGACAAGCTCCTTTTCCATCTCAATTGAGTTGATTGCTAGAGGGTCCTTCCCGGGCTACAAAGTCTCTTACACTACTTTGTTATTGAAAGTCACTTTAATCCAAGAAGTGTTCTAGATCTCTCATTGTTGTAAAATCAAGGAAAAACAGATCATCAACATCATCATCATGGTCATCATAATCATCCATGCCTTACCCCAACTATATGGGATCCACTACACACATCTTGTGTTGCCAATTCGTTATATTTAAAGTCATATCCACTATTAAATTATTATGTAAATCATTTCTTACTATTTTTTACCCATGTCCTTTTTGGTATATCCCTAGCTCTTCTTGCTCCTTCCACTTGTGTTCTATGCATGTGACTATACCATTTTAGTCTACTCTTTCATTTTTTTCACTTATTGGAGCTACTTTTAGGTTTTTGCAAATGGCTTCAGTGCTGATTCCATCATTTATACAGTCTTTCTACTCATCCATCTTGACATTCACATTTTTACCGTAGTCATTTTCTGAACATGTTTTTGACTATTCAATACAACATAATTCCTTACAACTGTTTTACAAAATTTTTCTTTTAATGTAAGTGGTATTCTCCTATCACATAAAAGTCTATATGCACCCGCCCTCCATTTTGTCCAACCTACTTTAATTCTTTGGATGATATCCTCCTCATTGGTCTCCATTCCTAAGTTTAATGCTATTAATTTTAAAACCTCTTATTTCTAGGAGCCACCCATGCACAGCATGGGCTAACTTTGACATCAATAAACAGTGGAGAATATAAATACACATGGACATTGCTAGACCCATGCAATTGCATTGGGACCTTGAGTATTTAAAAAGGAAGAAATTAATGCATGTTAAGCATGGAAACCTAGTGCTACGCGCCTTTGGAAGATCGAGTTCAGGTAAAAAATGGAACAAAATGGGTGATCAATTCTTGGGTAAACAGTTTGACAGCCCGGTCAATGACAGCTTTAAAACCATTCTCCATATAACCTTTATACTATAAACACCTCCGTTAGCATTCCATCAAGAAGATAAACGGAAAATGCTACATTTTTAAATGCCGACATTACCCTTTTGGACAATTGCCCTTATTTCTTTATTTCATATATTAAGACAAGAAAGAGACTTTTTTGCAAACAACACAAAATGAAGAAGGACAAAATTACCTAGAATGATAATTTGGACATTTAAACAATTACATTACGATGAAAGTTTAGGTAGTTATACGGTTATACCACCCCCCACCCCGGCATACTATAGGGGATGTATTTACCGTTTTTTATTTTTTATATATACACTTGGCCCCAAATACTAACTGATCTTCCAAGTAGGACTTTGTTGACTTATGAGTGGTTTAATAAATCGTTTTAGTTATAAAAAAAAGGACTCTTCGGATGGTAGGTTCCAAAGCTGTATAGTTGGACGAGTTTTAGCACGATTGTCTTCACAAAGTGAAAAAAGGGAAATAGAGAATTTAGTTGGACAACCTGATTTTAATATAATACTAGTGGGGACCCGTGTGATGTACGGGATTTATTAAGTAAAAACTGAACAATAGAAATACATAAGAGCATATAATTATTTTATATTTTTAACTTTTTAAATAATTAATAATTATTTATATTTTATATACTACTTTTAATAAATCTTTTACAATACAAAAATAACAATAATTAATTTCAACTAGGGTTGTTCATCAAAATAATGAAACTGACCAACCTGATCAACTCGACCCAAATTGGTTTATTTTCCATTATTTTCGATCGACTTTGGTTCAATAATCTCCCAACGCGACTAAGTTGGATCCAAGGTTCAAAATATCGATACGCCCGATATATCGGTATGGGCATATCGAGCGAATCGATACTCCTTTTAGTGTTTTTTTTTTAAGCCAACAGGTTCAGGGGAGCCGGTTTAGGTCTTTGCCACACCTTGAACTGGCCAAACCATTGATACACCCACAGTAGGGGCATATCGATATATGTGTCAATACTTTGAACCTTGGTTGGATCAGTTTCACTTTGGTCATTTGTAAATCGACCAAATCGAACGACTTAACCATAGATATATTAATATTTTATATTTTAAATATATTTTTTTAATCCAGGAAAGCGGAAATATTCCCATATTTCTTAGTCTAAAATATTTTATATCATAAATTTAATTTTTAAGTTTAAATCGTTTGAATTGATTGGCTAAACCAAAAGTCGACCCAAACCGATACAACCAGAGTGGGCCGATTTTCACAAATAGTCAGTTGGTTTTAAGTGACCAACTCCCCAACCTGACCAGGTCGACTTGGTTGGCCAAACAACCTACAACCGTGAACACTCCTAATTTCAACTATATTAATAGTCTAATCTCTAATAAATAACAATAGTTTATTCTCCAATAATTGTTGAAAATTTATAACAAAGAGACAAATTTTTAAAATATATTGATAATGAAAATACAATAAATAACTAATAAAAATACAAAAATACAATAAATACTAAAAATATGTTAAATTAGTCAATAAATAGTATAATCTCAAATAATATTTTAATCTCTAATAATATTAATCAATAAATTATAAAGTACAATAAATTAAATTTAAAAAGTTCAATAATAGTAGTTTAATCTCTAATAATTATGGAAAATTTTCTATTAAAGAACAAAACAAAAATAAACTTATACATAATTATTGAAAATATATTTGTCACAAAAAACAATAAATAATTACTTTAATACAATAACTATTAATTTTAGTATATATAATTATATAATAAATATATATTAAGAGTTTAAAATTATTATTAATAAATATTAATTTTTTGAAAGTTATTTTGTCGAATTATTAATTGATATAAGTGAAATTAGTTATTTACAACATTATTTAGTTATTTAAATGATATCATTATTTAAATTTTAAAATATTAATTATTTATTGAATTTAATAAGCCATAAAATTAAAATTTGTACTATTATTACATAATTTCATTATTAAAATTTTAAAATATTAAATTATTATTAATTTCAATATTATGTTATAATTATTTTCCTATTTGTAAGATTTTTTTTTAAAATTTATTACATAATTTTTTAACTTTTTAAAATCTAGTTATGGTAAAAATTTCATTATTTAAATATTTAAATAATATGTAAAATATTTAATTTTTTATTTGAACTTTATTTATTTTAAAGATATTACTTAATATTAAATATTTTGTTATGTAATTATTTAATTATTTTTAATATTTTGTTCTTTAAGTTATTTAGTTATTGAAATATTTAAATAATATTTTATTTTTTAATGTTAAATTTTTATTACTTGAATAACATTTAAATTGAATAATCTGAAAAATTATAATTTATATTGTTAGTACATAATTTCGTGTTGAATTTTGTAAAAATATAAAATTAATAATAGTATGAATAATATTAAATCTATTAGAAATACCTTTTGTATTTTTAGTAAATATTTTAAAGTTATTATATAATTTCATTAGAATATTTAAATAATTCTTAAATTTGTGAATTCAAACTTTCTTTAGATAGATATAGATAAAAAGTGGGGGAGAGAGAGAGAGAGAGAGAGAGATTTTATCGCTGGAATGTTACTCACAAAAGGGTAAAAGGTAAGAATTCAAACAAAGAATGTCAATCACTTAAAACTTGTTAGTTGTTACAGCACAGAATGGACAAAAACCTTAAACTATTACAACTCTCTGTTACCCTGTACATCCTCAAATGTTTTAACAACATCGCCAAAATGGAGAAAACAAATGAACCAATATGGTAACCAGGAGATTATATTCCACATCACGTACAAACATGCTATGATCTCTTATCCGTGTAATCTTTCAATTTCTACATGGATAATTTCTCTGCAGCACAGTTAAACATATATAGGTAGAAGCTTATATGAGCAAAAGATGGCAGAATTTAGTTTGACAGAATCAGAAATTTGGACGTTGGCCTTGCAACAAGCATCCCCGTGCAAATAATTATAGCACCCATCTTCTGTAAAGAAATCTAAGTAACCATGCACTTATTTCTGGCCTAGCTGCTGCACCTGTCTGAGGTGAAGAATTTCCAAGATGAACTGAAATGATATTCGGTCCACTGCAAATGCTGTATTTGGACTTCAAAATGCATATGTAAGAAATGGATGAAACGGCATTCACATATAGCTAGCTGCATATAAACTCATATTACATGAATATACCCCCTTGTTTTTCAAAATAAGATTGACATGCTCATGGTTCACATAACTCCCATGAGCAGTACAAGAAATTGGATGAGCCAATATATGAAATAAGGAAATCAACAACCAATTTTCTTGAAAACAACAATAATAATGACATTATTCAACTAAGCAAGTTTGGCTATCATTTGACACTTCTTGCTTTCCATGATACCTAGATACTTGTAAAAGGGTGTTTTACCATATTAAATACTTCAATTTTAGTGTAAATTTTGTATCCTTTACCCTGTCCTGCCATGTGCTTGCCGTATTTCATCTTGATTCTAAAATGTAGGATACAGAAGTCACTACTCACTAATTGTTGGCTCTAGTAGAAAGGATGGAATATCCTACATTGGAGTCTCCAATTTGGAGATGGAGGATTTTTGGGCACTCCACTTGACCCAGACCACATGTAGCACACAACTCTCATTTGTCTTTGAATCTTTGGTTTGAAAAGGGACTCCATGATGATGCCAGAGAAAAGGGTCAGTCTAGTAGTTGTTTTTTTTTTGTCTAGATGGCAACATTAAATTTCATATTTTAAACTGGAAATATATCCCCCCAAAATAAAAAAATATATATGGAAAAAGCAAATTAACAAAATAGTACCTGACACTCTTATATTAGCTTATTTATACGATATGTTTCCTTCACCAAAAATTTGGGAGGAATGTAGAACTAGGCATGAACATTGATACTTTATGAAGTAGAATTCTGGGAAATTAAAAATTATGTCCATAAATTAGTAGCCAAAATGAGAAGTTGAGATGGATCACTGTCAAGGCAAGAAGATAGGATACTGGTGTTCATAGGAACATAAGTACTATGAAACACAGGTACCTATACAAGGGTGTCATATTATGTTAGATACTTAAATTTTTAGTGTAAATTTCGTATCCAATACCCTATCTAGCCATGTCTATATGGTACCCAGGTAAAATAGGCTAGGTAGCCCCAATATATTTTACCCAGATGTGATTAGGACACATTTGGACAGGGTGTTGGATACAGAATTTACACTAAAAATTGAAGTATAGAACACTATGCAACACTCCTATACAAGCATACAAGTACCATAAGCCCCAATAAGTGAAAACTGAGAAGATGACTGAGCTGACTAAAGTGATTGTTATGTGCATAGAAGATCATCAACTGTATAATTGAGTGATCGGAAGTTGATGGTTCTAAAATCCGTTTGACGAAGTGTATGCAAAGGAAGTCAAGGGGGATAGTACCAGAATCCATCTGACGAAGTATCCTACTGTACAACTCTAGATGGCCATGGAATGAGTTGATGATGTCTTCCTTAGGATTGGAACCAGAAGGACGATCCTGATTCATAGTGGAACCTGAAGTCTGATACTCCTAGGAGGCCATGTTTGTTGAGTTGTACTTCTTCTGGCCCTGCTGGCTAGGCTTCGTGTTCTGTTCTGTTGCTGATTTCTTACTTAAATTCTTGAGCCCACTTAGGCTTCCCATGGAGATCCCAGAGCAAATATTGCTAAATGCTGTATTGAACCCTCAAAGATTTAAAACCTGAACCAATAAGTAAGGAAGAACTTAAAATTTTGTCTAATCAACACATTTTCTTCTTCTATATATTCTTCTTCTTCTTCTTCTTCTTCTTCTTCTTCTTCTTCTTCTTCTTTTACTACTACTACTATTTATTTTCTTCTTTTCCTATAACAAAAATAAGGGTTCAGCCCCTATATTTTTTGAATTTTCTTTTCCTTCTTTTCTTCTCATGAATATGCTGATTTTCTATACTTTAACATGATATCTATACTTTCCTTACGAAAATTATGAATAGTTATTAAGGAAATATGGTTMTAATACCTAGGGAGCTACCCTAGGATCTATGTTTTTTACATAAAAAAATCCATTGCCTAGGTGAAGTTGCCATCCTGTCGCCTGGCCTCGCCTTGGTGCCTTGAAAACTATGCTTGGAAGATCCATGACCATCATGAGGTAGAGGTAGAAAGAAGGTAGAACAGGCTTCTAACATTATTCCCCAAAAGTTGTAAAAGGAAATTTTAAGAGCACTAGAAATAGATAAAGGAGGCAGAGCCAAGAGAAAGAGGCCAGAGTTGAAGTTTGCCTTCTTGTTGGGACTGAACCCTGCCTATGAACCCTTGAGAGTTCAGATCTTAGGAAGTAAAGGGTTGCTGTCGGTTCATGAGGTATAGGTCCTTGTTCAATTGGAAGAAAATAGGCGGAGTGTGATGGTTACAACCGAGGGGGAGCAACAAGTTGCATTGGCTGCAATGAGTAATAACAACATGGGGAAGAAAAGTGACACCGAGAAGGCTGATGATAAAGACAAGTTGTTTTGTACCCACTGTCGGCACTCACGGCATACACGTGACACATGTTGGGACATTCACGAGAAACCCAAGTGGGCAGTGAAGAACCAAGAACAGGGTAAAGGGCAAGGTCAGAAGAAGACGAACACAACACACTAACAGCAACTGTAAAATAACAATTAAATAATCCTCACAACACTTTCCTTCCCCTCTTTTCACAAATAGAGTATGGTCAGTCTGACATTGTTTGTAGCCAATCTGCTTTATAGCCAGATGAAACTTGTTGAACCAGTCTCTTGGTGATTGCTTTAGACCATACAAAGACTTCTTTAGTCTGCACACTTTCTGCTCTTTGCCTAGGGCACTAAAGCCAGGAGGTTGGACCATGTACACCTCTTCCTCAAGGTCTCCATTTAGGAAGACGTTTTTAATGTCTAGTTGATGAAGATCCCAATCAAGATTTGCTGCAAGGGAGAAAAGGACTCTAATGGAGTTCATCTTGGCTATTGGGGTAAAAGTCTCTGCATAATCTACACCATATACCTGGATAAACCCTTTTGCCACCAACCTAGCCTTGTACCTTTCTTTTGTGCCATCAGCCTTGTGCTTCACTGTGAACACCCACTTGCACCCTACCGGTTCTTTACCCTCAGGAAGATCCACTAATTTCCACGTACCATTTTTATGTAGGGCATTTATCTCTTCTTTCATTGCGTCTGTCCATTCAGGTAGTAAGAGAGCTTCTGCCACATTTTTAAGGATAGGGACACTGTCAATGGAAGAAATGAAAGCACAAAAGGAGGGTGAGATGTTCTCATAGGTAACAAAATGGGTAATAGGATACTTGGTGGTACAAGACCTAACTCCCTTCCTTTTCACAATGGGAATGTCAAGGTCATCACCAGATGGAATATCTATGGCAATAGGATCAGGAACATCAATAGGAATGATAGTACCTGGTTGGATATGATCTGTCCCCAGTGAATCTGATGATGTTGGCAGTATAGTTTCAAGTTGCTCCACAGCTCTTGAATTTAATTGGCTCTTGCGATGACAAAAAACACGGAATGGAGGGGGGTCAGGCAAAGGAGGGACAACCTAAAACTGAACTGGTTTCTCCTCCACCTTACTCTCCCCCTGAGGAGAAACCGGGAAAAAAATATCACTTTCAAAGAGAAACACATCCATAGAGACATAGTACTTCTTGGAAATAGGATCAAAGCATCGATAGTCCTTTTGGGAAGAAGGATAACCCAAGAAGACACAAGGAATGGTACGAGGATCAAGTTTTTCATGAGTTGGAGAAAGGTCCTGGATGAAACAACGATAACCAAACACACGGATAGGAATAGAGAAGAGAGGAGCCTTGGGAAAAAGAAGCTGAGGGGGGGCCTTGTACCCTAACAAGTGAGATGGCATACGATTGATGAGATAGGCAGCACACAACACAACATCCAACCAGAAACGTTTAGGAACATTCATGTGTATAAGTAACCCGTAAGCAACTTCAAGGAGATGACGATTCTTTCTTTCAGCAACACCATTTTGCTGGGGGGTTCTAGCACAAGAGCTACGGTGTATGGATCTGCACGAAGCAAAAAACTCCGTGAGATCACTGTGAAAATATTCTTTGGCATTGTTCGATTGGAAAATTTGGATTTCTGTTTGAAACTGAGTGAATATCAAGCGTTGGAAATCTTTAATGATTTTTGGTACTTCATCTTTGGACCGCATAGGGTACACCCATGTATATTGGGAGCAGTCACCAATAAGTGTAATGAAATATTTATAACCAGACTCGGATGTTAAAGTAATAGGGCCCCAGACATCAGAATAAACAATATGGAAAGGAAAATCAGATTTATTATTTCTTGAAGTAAAGTGATTTCTACAATGTTTGCTCAACTGACAAGTTTGACATGTGAAATCCGACACTGACACTGATTTAAATAAATATGGTAACAAAACTTTCAATGACTCAAAAGATAAATGACCCAAACGGCTATGCCATAAAAGGATTTTGACTCTTATTAGACAGACTCTTAAACTCAATAGCCGCAAGATAAGCTTTATTCTCCAGCATGTAAAGACCATCTACCATACGACCTCTACCAATCGTCTTCCCCGAGGCCAAATCCTATATCATATAAGAGGAAAAGAAAAAGGTTACTGAGCAGTTCAACGGATTTGTTACTACTAACAGAGAACAAATTTATGGGCAGTTTAGGAACATGAAGAACATCAGAGAGGGTGAATCCAAGAGGAAGGGGGATGAATCCTTGACCAGCTATGGTGGAGAAAGAACCATCAGCAAGTCTCACCTTGTCCTGACTAGATAATAGATTATAAGATTGAAAACAATTAGACTTACCCGTCATATGGTTCAAGGCTCCAGAATCTATTATCCAGGGGAGTCTGAGGGATGAGAGGACACTGGAAAGCTACGGCAGAATTACCGTTACCTGATGTAGATGCAAAGGAAGTCGAGGGTGGAGCAGCAGAATCCATCTGGTGGATTGCCCTCCTATACAACTCCAAATGGTCATGGAAAGAATTAATGATATCTTCCCACGGATCAGTCCCGGAAGGACTCATAGTAGTGGTAGATGATTGAGGCTCTTAAGAGGCTAAATTTGCTGCATTAA